TGTACTGAATGGTGGTTTGTGTTTTGCTACCCTACTTTTTTCAGCATAACAAGCGATTATGTTGCAGCAACCTAAATCTTGTTCCAATTTTAAAAAATTCAACATGAACATAGGAATATTTGTAATCGCCAATACGTCTCAGCAAAACAGCAAGGTCATCCACCCCATTACGACCCCATTTCATTAACTTTAAGAGATGTGTTATATTTGAGAAATATCAGTCCACTAAAGCTTCATGTCGAAACAGAACCAAATGTCACCAAGATCGAAAGAAAGCAACCATCATTCTCGGTGTAACCCACTGCTCTAAATCTTTCCAAATGACATAACTAAAGATTAGCAGAAGTTGGCATAGCGCACAAATGTGTTTGGATTATGTGCTGAAAAACTGATCAAATGCTACGATTCTCTGGTGTTTGTACTTCTATTTTATTAGAAATTAAAAAAATTCATTCATTAGAAGTAACGAAACTGGACCTCCTATGCGTCCAGTTAGAAGAAAAGCAGTGAACGGCGTAGAAAACTCGTGTTTAATTGTTGGCATAAGGAGGGTGTCATGTGGTGAATGTTAAATGCTGGTTCCATGGAAAAAAAAGCTATCGGCGTTGGTCAATCCCTGGGGGATGCGCCATGCATTCGACTTCATTAGGCATCGTTAGAGGTAACTGAATGCATATCTGCCCTATACAGTTACTCATAGTGGCCTACCGATGTATCGAGTGATATGTATCGGGTCAATGCTGCTATCCTCCTAAACTGGTCTGGCACCAATTTGCAAACCCCGAAAATATGGGATGCTTGGTGAGCCTGGTGCACAGGGATCGATCCTATTGGTATTGCAGATCGCCTCCGACCTCTGTGCTACACGCGCTTCCATAGCCCAAAAAACAAAAGAGTAATCTTGCATCCTAGAAAAATACTGTAAGGAAGGCCTTTCGCTGTATGATTTGCAAACGGGTGATTAAAAAAACTGAAAATTATGAGTAACTCACAAGAAGGCATAAAAACTGTACCAAATATGATCGAAATCACAATGTTTAGCTTCTACTTAGTGCCAATTCTTTTATTATTCACAGTGGGGACCGATGTGTGCTACAACCACAATTACGCTGAGATATGAACAAGAGATAGAGTAAAACGATGCCTGAGAAAAAAGCATGTCAACGCCTTCACTGGTATAGTGGATAAACATGAGCACCCAAAAACCGTAACCACGGATTCGAAGCCTACCTGAGGTCCCAGGTTTTGCCTGCCCTTTCACTCAGCATCATTGTTGTTGTACTACAATTCTTACTCCACCATGAAATAAAAAGAAGACGCTATAAGTAAAAGTTGGAATATTTATTTATGTGGCCTTATAAACTGAACTTCTTAAGCTGACGCGAAGTTGGTACAGGTCTTCGTCGTCGTTGTCGTTGTTTTTGATGTTATTGATCGATGGCTGACGTTTCCTGACGACTTCGCCTTCCTCAGAGCCTGGACGTATTTTATATTAGAATATTTTTTATTATTCGGTGGAAAAGAAAGGTTAAAGTATTAATGAAGATCAAACTTTCAAATAGACTCAATATTGAACAGAAAGGCCACTCACCATGATGTTACGTGCGGGACCGGCACACGCGTTGTTTTCGTGGAGTGGCGAGCATGACACACTCCGGGGTCAAAATATCATTATGAAATAAGGCGCCAGGTCACGCGTGATAGTGAGGCATTCATCTTTCCGGTTCATCTTTGAATTTTTTAAAATTTATTCAAAACGCCTCAAGCTCGTTGGTGTTTTTTATTCCTACGCTAGGATCCTCACATTCACTTCAAAATCATCGCCGTTGTGCTTTTGTGCCCTATACGTACCTAGAGGAGTGTTTAGATGGATTTTAACTTTCCCATCTAGGTGTTTTTTTAAGCGGACACAAAAGTGGTCTACCCGTTTCTCCTATATGTTCCTCACCGCATGCGTTACATGAGATCAATTATATTATACTTAAACTCATGCAATCCCCGTCTCTCCCGTTAAGACAGATCATACAGTTTTCTGAGCTGCACAAACGATCATAAAGACGGTTGCAAACTAACTGACGGCGTAGGGTATTGGGTGGGATTTCAATAATCGTTACATAATTTTTAAGACCACTTTTTCTTAGGTACTTCTTAATGGCGAAGCTTATTTCGTTTGATATGAAGGGTAGCTTGAAGGGGATCTTGCTTAAGTTCGAAACATTATTTTGGGAACAACCCTACTTTTTTGTTTGACTGGAGAGTGGCTTCTGCTTCGTACTCATTGGAAATGGCTAACGTTTGTGCCAAATTTAGCGACTCCTCCCTTCTTTTCCCTGCACATATTTTTGCCCGTTCCGTACATGTTTTTGATGAGAGCTTTTTTTATGTGTGAAGGATGTTTTTTATGTGTGAAGGATGAGCGGTGAGGTACTGCACTATTACGTTTTCACTATTTGGCTTGCGATACCATTTCGTTATATAACCGCTTTCTGAAAGTTTATTTGGGTATTTAAGAATGGAAGCCAGTCCTCGATTAGTTTTTCTCGGGTGAATTTTGTTACTCTGACTATCTACTTAACAATTCAGAGCATTCAGCCATCTGTTCTTGTGTGGAACAGATGAAGGCAGTCGTCTATGTATCGATAGTCAAGCAAGGGTCGGCGATCGAAAACGGGAGCTTCCGCCTTAGACAAGAAAGTGATAGCAAGGCTTGGTGCTAAACGCTGCCCCATCGCCAACCCTCTAATTTGCGAAAAATGTTTTCCAGACCACCTAAAGATTGAACAACTAAGACACTGTTTTGAGAGAGTCATTTGTTGCGCAATCGACAAGCCGTACATTTTAATTTTTTTTTCGTGCTCTACGAGCAGTTCGAGAATGGCTTGCATTGCGGAATCATTCGACATAACGGTATGAAGTGAATTAACATCGAATGATTCCATTACATGCGTGCTGTTGGTTTGCGCACACTGTAGGTGGTCTAGGAATGATTTGCTATTGAGGAGGTGGGTTGTTATGAACCTTAGCAGTTCGGTTAGGTTTAGGAACCATTATGTTAGAAAAAAACAAAAACCAGAAAAGACCAAAAAGTAAGGCTTAGGAACCACATTATTCTGCCTATTAGCCCACCTATATAACTGGTGCTTGGTCGAACCTTAAATGACGAAGAGTTGGTGGACGTTAGGTCTCCAGCAGAAGTATGTTTGCGCGTCTCCATTAGCAAGTATAGGATAGGGCAAATGGGATGTTCGTTCTTTAGCCGAGAAATAAATAACAACAACAGCTATACGAACCCAGCATCAGCTTAACAAGATCAGTTCATAAGTGTGATTGCTTTTGTTAACATCCCGATTGGACAAAACGACGACAACAAACAAACCATTATGAGGGAATGCTACATATTTATACAAAATTTTTATTAGAATTACAAGTAAACAGATGGTTGGTAACAAGTTGAATAGTGGGCATTGATTTTTCAATACTGGTAGCAAATTTTGTAGCCACATGTTGTCATGCAACATGACGGTTGAACCTGCAATTTGAAACAAATTTCAGTATTCATTTTTGTCCTAGAGACCGATTTCTGCACATGAATTACAGAAGAACTCTCTGCGACGACTACAAAACTAAAGATAAAGGAAACGATTGTATCACCAACTAATACAGTTATTAGTTACCGTATTCTCGCGTCCAAGGCAATCACTGTCCGAGTTACACGCGTCGACATGCGCGAAGAAGCAGTTCAGCCCAGCGTTGGCATCAGCAGGGCATTGCGAAGTACCGGTGATTCCTGAATGGAGAAAATCATTTGTGAAATCCTACCACAGCGATGCTGAGAAATGAATGACAGTCGGAACCTCATTCGGTTTCGAACACGCAGTTACTCTTGCCGTGAACTCACGTGCTATCTGAACTGCCATGAAAAGAGAAGAAGCAAAAAATGAAATCTAAATTGCTACCTAACTACTGTGATTTTGCTTAGCTAGGCTTACTACCGATTTGTGTCACCCAGATCATTCCCGTTGATTGCTGACAGCACCATTAGAGTGAAAACATTACGAGGTGGAAGCCGAACTGAGGTTCCGAGTTCTGCTCATATCTCAGCACTGTTGTGGTTGTATTTCACATTATGGCCTGTCGTGGAAACAGAATAGGCACAAAATAAAGTGAAGACATTGTGGAGTCATTTGCATTAAGAAAATAAAAAAGCCACTGTAGACCCTTTTTAAAAAAAAGTGGTGCAACGCCAAAGTTAGTGCTTAATCTTCGAATAAACAACTGCGTGCTATAAATCAGTTGCAATGGCTTTCTACTTTTGAGAGAAGGGTAATTCGTTGAACTGGAGTAAAGAATCGTGGTAATAACACGACTTTATTTTAAAAAATTTTTTCGTTTTACAATCTTAACCTTTTTACTTACTGCCTACTACAATTTTTAACGGCAGTGTTTCATGTGAAATACAACTAAGATGATCCCGAGATATTTGCAAAGCTCCGAATTGCAGGTGTCTGCGATGAGGAATGAACCCGCCATTGCCCTTTCCGGGGATTAACGCGTTCACCACCACACCATGCGGGATCCGCCTGTTTCTCAGCTAGTTCTGTCGATCACTGCCATTAAATAAAAAGGTTAAGATTGTGACTATAGCTATATCCTCAGCTTAACCGGGTTCGTTGGCGATTTTGGCTTTCCAGATAGGTCCCGTTGACGGGTGATTGCTGATGGCAAGTGGTCGATAGAACTAACTGAGAGACAGGCGAAACGAGAGACCCGCATGGTGTGGTGGTGAACGCCTTACCTCCCGGAAAGGACAATAGCGCGTTCATACTCCATCGCAGACATCTGCGGTTCGGAGTTTTGCAAATATCTCAGCGTTATTTTAGTTGTACTGTCTTTTTAATCGGTTTTACCAATCGTCATGCAAGAAAACGAAAAGTTGCAGTCAGTTTTTAAACGGAACTAACAAATGTTGAAAACATGGGAAGTGAATTAAAGATATCAACTTATAAAGCTGTAGCGCCTATTACTAGTGAAGTCAAAGAATGGTTTTGTTAGAAAAGAAATACCAGATGAGCCACATGTCGCCTGACAACTCGCCAGCGATTGGAAATTATTAGCATTTCCACCACAGCCGGAGTACGTGAAACGTTTGCAGGACGTTGACGACGAATCATAGTAGAAACGAGTCGACGGTGCAGTACATGAGCCAACCGCTAACGGCAACGAGCACAGAGTTGTGCCTGTAGTAGTTGGAGAACGATTCAGTTTATCGTTAGAATAAAAATCGATTGAATTCATGCTGTGTGAAGATGATCAAAATGTTATTTTGAAAAAAGGTGACTGAAATTAGAGTTATTGAGCAAGCAACTAGGCTGCAAAATTTTATAACATGTTACCCTTTGATAGAGATTTCTTTGACCACGTTCAGCACTTTCAGTTTTATCTCAGCGCTACAGTGAATGACGATGTCAGAAAACGTTTCTAAATTAGGCTAACCTTTCGGCGGATTTCGCCTTCCTCAGAGGCTGGAAAGGTCAAATTGACAGCAATCCATTCGGCCAAACACCTCCATAACCAAACAGAGAAAGCGCTAAACCAAGATTTCAATCACATTTAGCA